TACAGTGGGTACAATATGGGAGTCTGTGTTCCAAGGCGATTGTTGCCAATATCCATTGTGGATTGTGCCCGACCAGAATTCAGTAACATCCGATAAAGTAATATCCCTTTCCACAACTATTCTGGCCACCGAGGGTCTGGTTAGGTTGAAAGTAGGCAGATCTAGCTTCAAAAGATCCCCTAGGATGACCCCAATAGAGTAGAAAATCTGATGGTGAAAAAAATGCAGCTTGAGACCAGGTAAACTAAACCATACCGGTATAGTTGGAGTTTTATGATTTGGGTCGAAATCAGGAGATCACTTGAGTAACATCATAGCTTTTACTGCGATAATAAGATATTTCTTGGAAAAAATTCTAGTGTAGTTTTCAACCATTGTTAGTTGGATCAACACATGTTTCCCATCCATAAGTCCCACCTTGCACTTGCCTACTGGCTTAAGATCATCTACGCTCTTTTTGATAACCTCCATAGGTGGGTGTCCCCATTGAAATTTTCAATGAGAACAAACTTGAACTTTTCTGTCATGATAGAAATTTCTGAGTCAGAGAAAAAAATTGTTGTTTTCCCACCTTTCCTACTTCCTTTCCTAACAAAAGGACAATCATCTGTACTATCGCGACATTCGACATTCGCGACATTCTTTATAGTTTGAGGGGAATACCACCGCGGACTCCACCTGAGGGTTTCCCACCACGTGGGCAAAAGAAGTCTTTGCCGGTTCAGTAAAAGAAGAAGGAAGTGTCATCAGAACAACCAGCTGTCACCTGCAGCGAGAAATTTGTGTCAGGCTGGAGAGAAAGGCGTGGAAACAAAGCAGAAGATCGGGCCGGAGAAGCACGGGAGCAGACAGCGGAGCTGGACGCTGACGCTGGACGATGACGAAGAAGCCGCGGATTGCAGCTCGACGAGGTCGACGCTCGACATAGAAGCTCATGTCGTTGTCGACGATCGCTGAAAACAAATCGATCCTGTGCCGACACGTTAGGGGAAAGAGCAACTTGTGGCTCCTTACGTGTTAAAATAAAAGATGATTACAAAAGGGGAGGAAAGGAGGATCTCCTCTAAAAAGAAAGAACATACATAAATTCCTAGGGGTTTCTCCATCCACATTACAGCTCCACCCAAAAAAGAAGAAAATAAAGAAAAGCTTTCAAAAACCCAAAAATACATGTAATCATATATGTATATATATATTTTAGAAAAGCCCGTAAGCAATATTATAAAATAAAGAAGAGAGGAACAGAAGAGTGGGAAAGAAGGATTCCAGAAAAAAAGGATCCTCACCTCGGTATACAACTCACCAAAAAATATCCAAAAGGCAAAGTAAAAAATTTGTGCAAAGATAGAAACAAGGTTAAAATAAAACAATTCAAAATATTTCTCTATTTCTGAAAACAAAACACAGGAAAAGTAGGCAGAACAGCCTTAAGCAAGTCTGTGGGAGAACAGGAGAGCAGTGACCAGATCAGAACTGAGAGCAGGAAAATAGGAGCTTGAAGAAAAAGATAGCAAAAAAGCGCTCCACAATAAGATGAAAATCAAGGTCATATGGAAACTATCAAAACAAAGCAAAGAGCACTTTATGGCAATCATCTAATGTAAGGGAGATCTAAACTATCTCCCCTTAAAAGTATTTGAAGCTCCCTGGGAGGCACCAAACATGTAGATACCCCAATATATCTACGTTTAGTCAGCTAATCAGCTGGTGCATTAACCTCTCTAGTATAAAATTCCATCTAACCTGAAGATCATGTGAATCAATGAATTGCCAAATCCTGTTTAAACATATAGATAAGTTCCAGACAGGCTCTTTTTTTTTGGAAATGAAATCCAGAAATTCAGAAGAATCAGTTTCAATGATAAGTAAAGGCCAGTGGAAAATAACAATAGTTAGTACTAGGAAAATTGCCCAACCCTCGGCTTCAGTGGGAGTAAGAGCCCACATCAGAAAAGAAAAAATGAAAAGACATTGGCTCAAATGTTTTCTGAATATGGCCCCAGCACCGACAGAGTTAACATTCCAACTCCCATCTACATTTATTTTGATCCAGCCAGGGGGAGGGGGCTGCCATTAAATTAATGTTTGTTTCCAGCCCTCCTTAGGCAAAGATCCAGGCTTCAAATGTAGATGCTTAGAGGCCTTGGCATAGTAAGAAAGAATATGTGAAATAGTAGAAACGGGGGAACATAGAGAGTGCTCATGCTTGTCATTGTTTCTAGCACACCATATAAACCACAAAACCGTATAAGGAAACAAGTGCATTTTAATCTCTGAACTGCTACTAGGTTGCCAAGCAAGCAAACAATCCTCCATAGAATTCCATATAAACAAAAATCCTTCCCAAGCTTTGCTAAATTTCCGGAGCAAAGGGACATGAAAAGTAAACATGTATAACACTTTCTTCAGAACATTTACATAGACAACATTGTGTGGCTAACCTCAATCCATTTAGCATCAAGATATCATCCAAAGGCAATAAGTTTAGAAAATTTCTCCATAAGAATATTGAGATAGAAGGAGAGAGACATTTATCCCATATATCAGTTCCCCATTTCAAATGATCAAAATTATGCGAAGAGTTATAAAGCATTTTAGAGATGGAAACATTACGGCCCGATTTCCAGTGGGGCTTATCTTTAATGTTGTTGCGTAGAGGTGTCATAAAAATTTGGGGGGGTGAACTCCCCTACCAAATCTCTCAATAAATGCACATTCCAATGCCCTTCCACATAGAAATTAGAAACAGAGAAATCGGGATGAAGAGGAGAAGGGGGATAATTACCCAAAAAATTAGCCTCCCAATTATCATACAAAAAAAAAAATACTTCCATCACCAATTTCCCAAAAAATAAACTTATTTGCCTCACTTCTAGCCTTTAAAATTGTCTTCCTGATTTTAGAATCACCGGACATCCACTGGATAGTAGAAGGGTGATCAATAGAACAGTATTTATGAAATAAAAATTGAGCCCAAAGGGGGCTCCCTTCTCTAAATTTGTACCAAAGCTTAAACTTGTTGATATCAGCAATATGATTTAGGCTTTTAAACCCTAGCCCATCGGAGTTCTTAGGTTTGTACATTTTATGCCATGCAGACCAGAGTTTTGTAGAACTCAATAGCTGATAGGACTCAAATTTGGCATAAATAAAGACTTACGTGGAACTCAATAGCTCACCAGTGGGCATAAACAAACCTCTTGCTAACTTCAAGAATGATAAGAACTTTGAAGTGTAAGAGCATTAAAAAATAGTTAAGGGAGCATTCAAAAGTTATAGAAGGCTATTTTGGGGTCTGCTGAATTTTGTTTTAGGCTAAATGCAAACAACAAAATGCATTTATTTTTAAATGCACAATAAGAATCCAATTTGCGAACAAGCGCAATTAAATTGTAACATGTATATATGCTTACTCGTGTATTAATGACAAAACTCTCGCACAAATATAAAATCAAAAAATCTTTAAGTCTTATTTGTGCATCATGAAATTTTAACTCAAATATCATTTTTTGAAAACTATGACAGCATGTCAGAAAGTATAATACTACTCATGGGCCTTTTTAAACACATTAATGTCCAAACCTAAAATCAAAATGTTGTGTGTATTAAAACTGATAAATATTTTCATTTGTTTCGACAAACATATCAAAACATCAAACCTGACATCTGAGAATGTTGTGCTGACTAACAATGATATCAACATGTATTCATGTGCTATGATCATTGTGCCAAGTATATGTTAAAATAATACTTTGCAAACTAAAACATGCGATAAAACTAATTGTCATACTTTCAAAGAAATGTAATTTACCTTCAAAGGTGTGCAAACTCTCTAAACTGTCTAAAATTTATTAAATTGAACACATTTTTGTGCTTCTACAAATAAGTTGAGTGCTCGAGTCTTTAAACTGAAGTACTGCATGGACTAATATAAAATAAACTTTAAATGTTGTCATTTTGAGAGAAATGCAAATATTTTGAATGTCTTGCAATTATTTTATTAATCCACTTGTTTTTTCAAAATCAAACTCTAACCTATCAAGTGACGTGTGCTCTTTAGCAAACCACCTTGCTTATAGTATAATGTTGTTAATCACACTTGCAAATCGGGTCCTTCTCCTTATAAGAATTAAAATTGATGACATAAATGCTATTGACAATCTTTAACTAATGATATTCAATTAAATTGCGAAAGGAAAATGACTTTTAATTCATACTCTCGCACTAATTAGACAAATTGACATCATCATGTATTGGGAATCGAGTAATTCTAGATTTCATTAAATCATTTTTGTTCCACATTTTATATACAGGCTTCAAGGTTTTTTATAAAAGAGATTTGTTTCAAAATAAATCCTTTTGATATTGTTACATTCATAAGACATATTAATAGTTTAGCCTATAAACATTATCTTTGAATAAAGATAAGAGTTGAAACGGTCTGTAATGGGATTAATCTTTTAAGTACCTAAAATATTACGCAAACTATGAACCTTATCTTTTACCAAGGCAAATTTGACAAAGTTCAAATCAATCTATCAAATATCTCAACGATGATAATGCTAATAGAAAATCGCATCTGAAATGGATTATTATCATCAAAATGCTCTTAAATTTTATGCAAATCAATTTAGACTTAAATTCAAATGAAATATAAAAAATTAAGAAGAATACAAAATGTTATTTGCTTAAGTAAAATTTATCATTTAAAGCTAAGAATAAAATTAATTCATCATCTAAAAAAATTATTGATGGTTACAAATTTAAAATGATCTGAAAGAATTAATGTTGTATCAAGTGTATTTCTATGATCACTCACAAAAGATCTCATGCTAGCAAGTATGTGATGTATTCTTTGATCATGCATCTTTAGCTTCAAATGGCACTATAAAAAAGAGTTATGGAGAGCCCTTCAACCAGATAGTTAGTCACAAAATGATACTATTAAATTAAAATCATGACCAAATCTAGGTGTTTTTTAATAGCTTAGAGCATGAAGCCTATGTTAGTAAATGTTGATTTAAAATCCTCTTAGATAAACATCTTCCTAAGTCTATAAAATCCCCTTCAACAAGCATCCATCCGAAGGCTAGAATATCTTTTTGAACAATATAACTCGTAGCTACTAACAAGAATTTTTCTGCTAGGTTGAGTTGACTTCTTCTCTAAGGAGGCCAATGTCCATGATAAAATGTGATGACAGAATCATAGGATTTTGATAGGCTTTATTATCATTTCTTCTATCATCCACTCTATGTTAGTAGTTATAAATTTATTTAATATAAAATTAGATTGATGCTACTATATGATACCTACTTAGTGCCTAATGGTTAATTTTAATTGAAAGTTCTCTCTAGTAATTGGGAGAAAATTAATCATAAAGACTTGTTTATATGGAAAGCTTGAAATTTATCTCTTAAGTTCTTACAAATTGAGGGCAGAATTGTAGTCAGTATTTTATTTAAAAACTAACCAGTCTTCTAATTATTTTACTTGGATTAAATAAGAACTCTGTTAGGAGTGTTGGTCATGAATATTTTTTAGAGCCTAAAGATTTATGGCAACTTCATTGGAAAAAAAATTGCTTTTCATCTTTGGTTAGCTATATATGCTTATGGTAGCAACTTAAATAAAATAATAAAATAAATAAAAACACTAAATTTCTCTTATCAATCAAAATTATTTAGAAATTTGAGCAAACTCTGCAAGGCGATCATTATGGTGTGACACGGGTCTAAAGCTCAAAATTTTACCACTAAAAATCTCAGGATGAAAGAAATTAAATTTGAAGATCAATACCTCGGAAAAATATGTTTACAAGTTGAAAGATGTGATATATGGCGCTCCACTTTAAGAATTGGTTATTGAAAAGAAATCTATCAAAAATAGATGTCAAAAGGAAAATCATATTTTCTAACGGACTGACAAAACACTTCTTTCATTGTACAGCTACAGCTTGGAGCTTACTTCCACCTGAATATTGTGTAGTATTTTTTATTTATATCGAATGAATGTGAATTCTATTTTTTTAATTGAATCTCTGAGTGTGAATTACCTAAATTAATTGTGTATAGTCATACATTTTCATCTACTCACATTAGAGGCCGTGGACCCTAAAAAGTTCTGCATTAGATTAGTGGCATGCTTGTAATTTCATACAAGTAGTTTTGAGGCATAGCCATATTGATTTTATCAAATTTGAAAATATGGTTTGGGCTATGAATGTCCTAATCTCATTCTAACTTTGCTCATGATAAATTAAATTGCCCTCTTAATCTGTTTTAAGTGGTGTTTATTAAAATGATTGTTTCTGTCCTGATCCATTCAGTCCTACTTTGAAACATTATTTAATATTTGATCAAATTTATTTTTGGTTAAGTTCTCTTCACTAAATTTACACACGCATCATGCTTGAATTGTGAGTAAATCTCACCCTCTAAATTTAATGCATAATCACTTTGATGAGTTTGGATTTTTGAATATTAAAAATATCAATGCAAGTCTAACTACGAGAATAAGGCTGATTGACATGACATTTTTTCTCTGAAATGTCATACATGGTCAGGAAATACACTGAACCAACTTTGTTAGCTGATTAATCATACTCGATTGCACACTCTAGCTACTATTATTCTTCTTACATGTTTAGCTTTTTAGGATTTTAAGGAATCTTATTTATGATAAGATAAAACGTGGAAGGTTCTTGGCCTCTTCTTTCATTCAGTCACGTGAGGCTTTTGTATTTGTTTGTTACGAAGGTTTCAGTGACACTATCCTGTTCATTTTTTTGTTTGTTTTTCTAGAAATTTTATATGTTTGTTGGCTTATTTTTTGTCCCTATTTGTATAAATGTTTCATGTTTACAGCTGTACAATAAACCCTGGAGAGAATGAAGCATTAGTTCGATATGCTTTAGATACATATAAGTTTCTCTCCCTTGCACCACAGGTATGGTATATCATATGCCTTAATTTGAATTACTGCAAATATGACCTTTAATTCTGGTTCAATAGCAAAATAAAATATTAATGTGTGGATGAACTTTTTTGAACTTGGTGTTGCATGAGATTTGTTATGCATGTATGTTTTCTTCGATTGAAATTAGACTTGCTTGAGTGCCAACTTCTAACAGCAAAGAATAGGCATTAGTTGTATAGCTATACATAGTGTTGTCGTGTGGTTGAACTTTTGAACTTAGTGATGTTAGTCTCAGAATAAAGTTTGATAATATTATAGGGCTCCGAGACAGTATTCATGATGCAGGTTTAGAGGGGAGGTGATTGTGGAATGATAAGGGAAAGGTAAATGCGAATTCGACGGCGTCAAGAGTGGATTACATGGATAAGGTGACTGTTGGACAGCAGTTTGGTGTCGATCCGCTGCTGCCCTGCAAGCTGGAGGTGGGAAGATAGTGATTTCCTGCTGGAAACAGCAGGTAACAGCGAGCTGGATGGCTGCCTGCCTGAAAATAGTTCGGATGGCAATATGGTTATATAACGGTGGCAATGGGGTTCCAACACTTGTTCATAAAGAAGCTATATGCAAACCACTTACAAAAGGAAATGATACAACAGTTCGGAGAGCAAAATTCAGAGAAAACATTTATCAATTCATTACATCAGAAAGAATTGAAATCCCAAATAACCTACTACAACATATATAAAAGTCACCTCATAGTAAATACCTTAAGTAGAAATTAGAGAAATAGGAAAAGACAAGAAAGGAAAGAAGCAAAGAAAGAAAAGAAAAAAAAATAAAGATAGTAAAATGAAAAAAAAAACTATCAATTGCTGGATTGCAGAATTTCTGAGAGTGTGGATACCGCAAGTCATGGGATCACGAGAGACGCCCCCACATCATTCTCCTTGGGTAGGATGGGCTTTGCTTCTTTGTTAGAAGATTCTGGAATCGATCTATCTTCATCATAACAAAATCATTTCCTTGTTGTGTCTGATGCAGACTCACTGCAAAATCTATGCTCATGTCCCTTTCACACAACTCCAAAGCACATACTCCCTTCCAAAGTTTGTCTAATAGAATTAAATATACATCATCTTTGGCACAACCAGAGCTAGAAATGTATTTAGATGGGTATTCTCGTGAGTCAAGTCTCAAGCCATTAAATATGTAAGATGTGTCTCCCACTTCTCATATTCTGCTTAGTGCATACAATAAATAAATCTAATTGGAGGAACTGACTCTAGAATGAAATCTATGGTAGGCTGGATCACTATCAGTTGCGGCAACTTAAGAGGCAGATTGTATGTTTGAAAATCTTGAAATTCTCTTATCTGGACTTGTCATGTGACTGGTGTCGGTTCCTTAAACTTATAGCTCTTTTGGACACCCAATGTCAGTCTTATTGAACGCTTCACTTAACGCTTGCAAAAATGTAGTTCGTGACACGACATCCTCAAAGTTTGTATGCATGTCCATTACCTCGGACTTACTACCTTTTAGGATAACAAATGATAATCTTGTTGGAGTCTCTCATAGGTTCAGTTTGAATCACTAGAATCTCTCCGTCATCGGTTGCAAGCTGTTACTCCTCTCCAATCTCCTTCAATGGCTCCTCTATAGCACCCTGCTCAGTCAAATATATCATTCTCCTCTTTGGGCAATTTGATAGCTTTGGCACTTAAAGCATTTACCGATTGGGATAGATTTGAGTGTTGTGTGCCTCATTTTCTCCACTCAGGACTAATTTATCCTCTGGTGCGCTCGGCTTGGATGCTTCATTGGATATCCTCTTGCTAACTGATTATTTGGTTGAACTCTGTATGTAAGGTGGTCGGTCACCCGATGATGTTGTTTCCTCATCTTTAAATTTAGGGTCTTGTTGGCGATAAAAAGTTGGGTTGGGGGAGTAGTTGCCCGTAAAAAGCTGTCGGTCACCGGAATCGGAATTTCGTCGCCCGCTTCGGAAGGACGCTTTAATTTACATATAGATTTAAGTTTAAAATCAAATATGAAAATCAAACTGACCCCATATTTTTCATAGTTTAAATGAAAGAACACATTACCTTGTATCTATCCCGAGGGATAAACACAAGACTTGAGGATGATGTTCGATCAAACAAACTAAGAAACACATGACGTCCGTTTGGTCAGCGAAATCGTTTTATTTGCCGATAAATTCCCTTATTTAATATGAAAAATTAAATAGGGTTTATTAAATAGGGTTTATTTTAAGCTCACTTCCTATAAGGGCAAGCCCCTATAGTTAATTATATCTTAAATGACCGAAGTCACTTAAGAATATTCTCGATAAAAATCAGGAAAAATTATCTTCAAGGATTTCAAAAGGATGAGACTTTTCAACGAAATCGGACAAAGAGGTGTGAAAGGAGAATGACTCAAGTTTGAAACATTTATTACAGAATCCAAAGAAAGAAGAACTAGGGGATGCCACAGATCCAGAGGAAATCCTCGGTGACTTCCCAGTCTACCCTATAGTTCGACTTCAGTTTCGAGGAAAAATATTCAAGTGTTTCATCCTGCCAATTTTATTTAATTAGGGCTTACATTTGTGTGGAACGATCACACAAATTGCCTGGAAGATGTGAGGATTTAGGTCGTAACGTACGATAACCTCAAAATCCCAAAACGAGTTAGGGCTTAGATCGTATAACAGAGCTATACAAATGTCTAACGAAAAGGTTGAGGATTTATGTTGCGCTAGGCGAACAACCTTGAAATCTTATGGATTGTTGTTTTAATTTCTAGGAAAGAAATGGTTTAGTTGGGGAAAACATGTTCTGCTGTTGAAGATGGTCGTGCTACCCACCGTGCTAGTTCCAAGTTCCTTGTCGTGACGAGTTTAAGTTTTCTAGGGTGTCAGGTTATAATATCAAATCCAGCGGCCCTATGGTTGTAGTTCTTCAGATATTTTATAAACAACATGTTGAAGTTGTACAGTGTATAGCATGACAGTAGAATATGTAGCACAGGACAAGCAGTAGAGTATGTAGTAAAGAAAATAGTGCAACATGCGGTGTAAAGAAAAGTAAAAGATACGTGTAAAGAAAAGTAAAAAGAAAAGTAAAAGATACAACAGGGAAGTGATTATAAGAGAATAACATGCTGTAAACATAAAACAAACTTGTATACCTGAGAGATTCGCTATTCCTTAGGTATAATTGATGCAACAAGTACAAGTAACAAAATTTGAGGAAGTAGACTGAAATGCTTTATATAAGCGAAAACAAAGAAACGTCGTCCAGAAATTTCGAGGAAGATCGTCAAAAGACTCACGACAAGAGAAATCCGAGGAAATCAACGAATCGACAAATCAACAAATCGAGAAATCGACGAATCAACAAATCGATTAAAATCGTAGAAAACATGGGAAAATCCTGAAAAGAGACCACGAGTGCTTTGTCCAAAAATTCTAAGAAAAGCATATGAAGAAGTCTGAAAAGAGGAGGGCCGCAAGCACTTAGGTTGGGGATAGGCTCAACTATATCTTGAATAATATTTAAAACATGTGCACCAATTTAATATAATCACTTTGATTAAAGTTGTTGGCAAGTCACTCAACTAGAAGGGTGTCCTATTTTTTTTTTTTTTTTTTTTTAAACCAGGAGGGTACTCCTTAGCCTAAATAGTATTTTTTCTCCATTCCAAAGTCTGAACGCATGACCTAATTCATAAAGTGTATTTAAAATTTATATTTTCAGCATGCACATAGGCTTCAAACATGCAAAAAGTTGGCTGTATCAATTTTGTTTGTAGTGAAAAATGTATTTTTGTTTTAGAAAAAGGTGTATCTGTTCTTATCAAATTTGTTTTTATCAATTTTGAAAAGTAGTTGTCCACTAGTCGATCGCGCTGTTGGGCATAAGACTACCAACAACTTAAGAAAAGGTGTATCTGTTCTTATCAAATTTGTTTTTTTTTAAAGTAGTTGTCCACGAGTCGATCGCGCTGTTGGGCATAAGACTACCAACAACTTAAGAAGATTCGTGTTAACTCCCGCTAGTCTTGTGTCGGTGAATGATACTTTCATCATACAACTCACCGGGTTCCTGAATCGGATCCTGATAGATTCCTGAATCGGATCCCGATGTCGTAGGATGACATATCATTTTGCTCTATCTCCGGTGTGCCTTTGTCATCATTGCCCTAAGCTCCAAAACAAAACTGACCTGCTTGCGACCTTGTTTGATGGTTTCACGTATAGCAAAAGGCCATACGTGAACACTTATGTATCGGACATAGGCATCAAAAATCAAACCAAGAAGCAAGGAAAAAAGGAACAAAAATGGGGTGAGAGAGAGGAGAGATTGATCCACCTAAAACATCGAAAGAACGATGGATGAATTAGCTCTCAAAACTCGTGATGAAAAGACCTGAAAATAAAAGCCCGAAGATCCTTGAATCAATCCGAAAGGGTATTATTTTATCACATTTTTATAAATGACTTAACCTGAGTCGAAATGGTCTCACACACCAGTGACTTCCTAACATCGGTGCCCAGCTCCCAAAGTCGTCTGAAATTTATTCCAACCAACCAAATGCTTTTCAAAAATGAGACTTAGAAATCTCTCAAACTTCACAAAAGGAAAATAACTCGGAGAATACCACCACTAGTACTCCCAAACCCATGCAAAAATTAGGATCTTCCAACCTCCAAATTAATCAATGGTCTCATATATCAAATAAGCATGAAATTTTCTCATAGATACAAATAAGCTCACAGCCGGGGTTAATAGGGGAGATCACCAAGACCTTTGGTCAAGGCAAAACAGGGCCAAAGAGACTCGCGGCCAAGGCAACCCAAGGCACAGAAGGAGAGGAGGCTCACGGCTAAGGCAACCCGAATCAATTATATGAAAATATTTGATATACATAAGAGAGTGAATGGACAAACCTTCACAAAGCCTCCAAACCGACTCCAATTTCACCAAGTAGGACATAAGGAAACTATTCAACCCATTCTTCAATCA